TTCCTTTGCCACGGTTAGGGACTCCTTGCTGTTTTGTGGTGTGGTGTGGTGCTCACACAGATCTCATGCTAAACAACCAGGAACATAGACTACAGAGTTCATGACACATTTATGCTCTGTTCCAAGGAGCTTGTTTCTTCTCTGGTGAGGCTTGGTGGAACGTGTAACAGTCAGAGGTGTAAGAAAGGGACTCTACTCTTTTGTGTAAGCACCACAAGAGACTATCCCTAGTATTTAGAATATGCATCCTTACTAGTTTAAGAAGTATTTGTGAACAATGATTATTCTAGTTTTTAGTTCAGCATTTTTCTAAATATGATTATAGTTAATGTCAGGTTCTCCAGCATGGCTATGAGTGTTGGATTGTGGCCATCAATAACCAACAAGAATTGTTGTAGAAGGCCACTTGTTTGTTTCTCAGGTGTCCAGACTCCCAAAATAACCACACAGAAACTATCAATTAAATCACTGCTTGACCTATTAGCTCTAACTTCTTATTGGCTAACTTTTACATCGTAATTTAACCCAGTTCTATTATTTTACATTTTACCACGAGGCTCATGGCCTACCAGCAAGGTTCCAATGCATCTGTCTTCACCAGAGGCTCTGTGACTTCTCCCTGACTCCACCCTTCTTTCTCCCAGCATTCAGTTTAGTTTTTCCTGCTTAGCTCTACTCTACCCTATCGCAGGCCTAAGACAGTTTCTTTATTAGCCAATGGAATTCACAGCATAGAGAGGGGAATCCCACATCAAAATATACTCTTTAAAAAACTGATTGTTTAGCATAGATGAGGAAAGTGTTTTCCAACCCTACCCCTACTGAGGAGCCAGCTGATAGCTGCCAGAGGAGGGAGAATCATTCTTCTTTGAGAGTGTGTGTGGCCACTATAGGTAGACTGCCCTACATCTGTGCACATATGAATAACTCTAGTTAGACAGTAGGCTATCAGAGGAAGGGAGAAGGAGAAGGAAAGGGGGAGGGTAGAATGGAGAGAGATGGGGGAAAGACATGAAGACAGAATTGTAGCACCAGGAAATATGGGCAGATATGGTCATATGGCATTGTATACATGAATGAAATCTTAGAAGAATAATAAAAAACTTTGAGAGCTAAGAATGTGGTTCATTTGGTAGGATGCTTGCTTAGCCACACACAGGGCTCTGGGTTCAACCCCCAGTTCCACAGAGAACCAGGCAAGACAGCATATACCTGTAATCTCAGCACTCAGTGGTAGAGACAGGAGGATCAGGAGTTCAAGGCCATTGTTGACTATAGAAAATTCAAGGCCAGCCCTACATCAAAGATTTGGTGAAAAAAGATGTTATAATAAAATATGCTAGACCCTGAAAATTGTAGTGAACGTCATTCTGAAGCTGCTTTGAGGCCTGCTGCACCTTCATATCATGTGTGTGTCAATAGCCACAGTGCCACGTGGGGGAGGAACTCCTGCAGTGCTGAGTAGGGCGGGCCATGGCAAACTTCTCTCGGGCAGGACCTTATGTCCAGAAAGACTCCTGTAACCTTGCTCCTTGTCAGAGTTGCTTTCTGCACAGACTGCTCTGTTTGCTGGAGTCTGGCGGGGTTGAAGACAGTTCCTGCTGTCTCTGGGGTGTGCCTATTTTAGGGGAGGTCATCTGTGCTACTTCAGAAACATTTGAGAGTTTTGTGGTTTGTTTGTGATTCTGGGGAAGGGTACCCAGGTTCTTGTATGTACCCCATCTTCACTGCTGGCCCAATTTCAGTTTTATTTTGTATATTACAGAGGCAGAGAGAGAGCATGTTCACACTTTGTTGTATTTTTGGGTGTGTGTATGTATGTGTGTGTGTGTGTGTGTGTGTGTGTGTGTGTGTATGCGTGTGTTGCATGTCCATATGTTGGGGGACAGACCACAGGAGGATGCTGGGTGTTCTGCTCTCTCCCTTTCTCCATCTACTCTCTTGGGACAAGTTTTCTTGCTGAACCCAGAGTCATGCTTGGCAGTGAGCAAGCCCTAGCTATCTTCTGTATACCTTCTGCTCCCCAGTGCTGGGGATCACAGCATGCATGACCACACACGTCTTTTTATGTGAGTGCTGAGTGTTGTAATACGAAGCAGCGGGCTGTGTCCCGCCACCCGGCTAGCTTTACCCGAAATAATTATACGGAAACTGTATTCTTTTAAACATTGCCTGGCCCATTAGTTTCAGTTTCTTATTGGCTAGCTTTTACATATGGATCTAACCCATTTCTATTAATCTGTGTAGCCCACGAGCTGGCTTACCAGGAATGATCTTAACCTGTGTCTGTCTGGAGTGGGAGAACCATGGCGACTCCCTGACTCAGCTTCTTTCTCCCAGCATTCCGTTCTGTTTACTCCGCCTACCTAAGGTTTGGACTATCAAATGGGTCTAGGCAGTTTCTTTATGAATAAGAAATCACTCCCACATCATCTCCCCTTTTTCTGTTTAAACAGAAAGGCTTTAATTTTAACATAGTAAAATTACATATAGTAAAACAGTTATCAAGCAAGAATTACAGTTATAATATTTATATCTATTTTATCTTTTATCATAACTAAGGAAAACTATAACTATCTATTCATTCTTCAACTCCATCAAAGACTCCAGAAGGATATAATACTACCTAAGTAAACAAGAAATAAGAAAACTCTAGAAATGACAGAGACATCTCGCTGCCTGGACAGTCGCCCAAAGTTTTTTTGTACGGTTGGAGCATCCATCTTCAGCCTTCAGGCCCATAGTATCCAGCAGACATTTCCATGAAGCAGGAAGTTTCAAAGACAGTTCAGTCACTATCTGCTGTGTCCTGCAGAATGTCTCGCAGACTCTTTCATGAGTCAGGAACCCCAAAAGACCGTCTCACCTTTAGGCAAGTTCAGTAGTCCTCTCTCTGCGGCTTCTTTGTGTCCAGTTTATGCAACAGTCCAGGCAAGAGCAGTTTCTTGCCCAAATGGCTATCAAACTCCATAAGGATTCTCTTCGATGCCCATCTTCCTCTCGAAGTAGATTGGTGCCGCCAGGAGCAGATATGTCTCATTGTCATGAAAAGTCCTAAGTTATTAAAACATTAAATGCCATATTCTGCAGTCTTTGAAAGATATGAAGAATGTCTATCTAACTGAAATGTATCTCTATATATCTAGAAAATCTAACTAACATGACTACAAGCTTGACTATTATTGATGATTATCCATTAACCTATATTTCTTAATTATACATTACATTTTTAAATGAACTACACAATCACAATACCTTAATCAAGATCAGAAATACATATACATATAACAAAATTGACTTTAAAATCCACACCAATGCAAATTAATCATACCTATATCATTTCCCCCTTTAAATGTAAAAGAACAATTTATAAACAATATTTTGGGAACATGGGCGCAGTTTTTTCTCTCCAAACTGCTTCCTGCTGAATGGGGGCGCTGTTAATCAGATCATTTAGGTTGTAACCTGTGTGCCAGGTTTATCTCAGTTGCCAGTTGAGTGAAGTAATTTTTTGAGGGTGTTCACAGGAACTTTTCGGGAGGTCGTGGTCTATCATACCATATCGGGGTAGATGCAATCCACAGGGTCTGGTCCTCTGTGAAAACAAAAGAAGACCCTTTCCAAAGCATCATATCCTTAGACCCAAATTCTGAAGTCATACCCTCATGATATCCGTTTTGGTTCCACTTGGCAGCCCATAGAATGAAATGTCTCTCTGTACTTAGCTCCTTCACAGTCAAAAATTTTAAAGAAAACACAATGTACATAATCCAGATTCTCTGTGAATTTTCCATTTTTACGTGGCTTATTTTTCTTTATTTGTTTTAATCTCTTAACTGTACTCTGTCTCTTTAAAGACTTTACCTTTTTTTTTTAAACCATTAACTTTATTTTCTATATTCTTTTTCTTCTCTCTCTCAAGTCTATGTGCATTCATCCAACAGTGTGGTCTTTTATGTCTGAATCTGTTTTATTGTGAATCTGTAACATTTTTTTACTATCCAGGAACATTTCTTAAAATGTTAAGCAGTTCTTAAAAACTTAAGTTGCACCATGTACAGGTAATACGGTACCGCCTGTGTCCTGCCCAGTTGAAACCTTAAATGCGCTGTTTTTATGGTAATTACGGTAGTTCCTGCCTGAGACCAGCACAGTTCAACATGGCAGAGCTGAGCCAAGCCGCTCCTGCCTCAGAGCCATTTGGTGCCCCTGAGCCACACACAGTTCCAGGCACACAGCAGCCTTTTTTTTGTTTAAACCGAAAAAGGGGAAATGATGGAGGAAGGTCATTGGCCGATGGAGAGGCTGCTTGGCCCTGTGGGTGGAGTGGACAGAGCGGGGTGCTGGGAGGGGGAGGAGGTGAGGTCAGATTACATAGCTCTCCTCTCGGGAGCAGAGGCCTGAGAGAGACGCCATGCCCCGCTCCAGGGATGAAGCTCCGACCCAGGATGGACTAGGCTAGAATCTCCCCGGTAAGCGCACCTTGGGGTGCTACACACAGATGATTAGAAATGGGCTAAATTAATATGTGAGAATTAGCCTAGAAGAGAATGGGCCAAGCAGTGATTAAATGAATACAGTTTGTGTGTTGTTATTTCGGGGCATAAGCTAGCCGAGCAGGCGGCCGGGGTGCTGGGAACGCAGCCCCGCCGCCCCTTAATACTACACAAAATAAATCCTAGTCTTGTAGCTCAAATATAAACAGTTATACAGCTGAGGACCTGAACTCAGGTCCTCATGCTTATGCCTCGTGCTAATACCCTGGCCTCTGTCTGGCTTTTTTACGTTGTAGTTACACTGTCACCTACGGAGCTCATGCTCAAGTGCTATACTGTAAAATTACTAAAGAAAACCCTGCAAAAATGTCTCCCAATGTTTTGAGCAAGTCTGTGAGTTAGAGCTGGGCTGTGTTCATATATATCTCAGGTACTCGCAGCCACAGTTGGATATGCCTAGCTGCGCCTGCAGAACTTTTCAGTTCTCTTCCTTTTCTATTGCAGATCTGAAGAAGACGCTGGCTGTGTTGCTGGATAACATCTTGCAGCGCATTGGCAAGCTCGAGTCGAAGGTGGACAATCTGGTCAACGGCACAGGAGCAAATTCTACCAACTCCACCACAGCTGTCCCCAGCTTGGTATCACTTGACAAGATTAATGTGGCAGGTAAGGATGGCCATTCCTTGTGCAGCCATGGCATTGAGCCCTGCCTAAGATCCCAGCACCAACGCTCTACTGGCACAATGTAGACTCCCTAAGCTTGATGACTGTTGTGAAGGCAAGCTTCTATTTATGTTTTAATAACAGATATTGGGATGCCTTCATGGTCCCCTCAGAATATCTGGTTGTTTCTCTGATACGTTTGCAGATAAAGAACTCCTAGAATTGGCTTTTACTGATAAGATTCAGAACCTAGATTAAGTGAAATATAGAGCTTATCAGAGAAGCTCCCTGCCGATGAGTTCTCTCTGCCCAGATCCCAGCAGCTGCAAGAGTCTGCCAGTTCTTAGGATGTGGCAGTGTGGTCCTGTAATCCCGGCGCTTGAGTGTGGGAGTTTATTAAGGAGTTCAGGGTCATCCTCGTCTGTACAGTGAATTTGAGGCTGTCCTGGGAGAACCTCTCAGAAAGCTAAAACACGCAACTGCCAAAGCTGAGGAATTTTAACAGAAGGTAAGATAGTACTGCTCTATCTTACTTAACACAGAGTGTGAAGTAAGCTGTCCGTGGCTGCAGGCAGATATAAATGATTAAATTCATATGAAAAAGGAAAAAAAATGGAAGAATGCAAAATAATTTCTCATTGCACAGATGTTACTCTGGCAAGCAAGGAGAACTCCCTGCCCATAAGTGGAAGATGACTGGGTTATCAAGGTTATAGGAGAAGAAGGAAGGGAATTTAGGGGCTGGAGTGTGGCTCAGCTGGTAGGGTGCCTACCTAGCATGGACAAGGCTGTGGGTTCAACCTCCTGTACTTCATAAACCAGGTGTGGTGGTGCAAACCTGTACTCAAGGCGGAAGCAGGGGGATCAGGAATTTGAAGTCATCCTCTGTGGCATAGTGAGTTTGAAGCCAGCCTGAGCCACATGAGACCCTGCCTCAAGAAATAAAAATAATACATGCCTTTAATCCCAGCTCTCAGGAGGCAGAGGCTGATAAATCTCCATGAGTTCGAGTCTAGCTCCTGATCTACAGAGCGAGTTCTAGTACAGACTCCAAAGCTACACAGAGAAACCCTGTCTTGAAAAACAAAAAAGCAAACAAAAAACAAAAAAAGAAAGGGAGGGAGGGAGGGAAGGAAGGAAGGAAGGAAGGAAGGAAGGAAGGCCGGCCAGGTAGCCAGTGTGATAGAAGTCCCCAGATCCTTGAAGTTTAAGATGACTGGCGACTACCTGTGGTAGCTTCTTGCTAAGGCAGGGTTGCCGCTGTACACAATGCCTCTGTGTATTATGGAATGCCAGGTGGACTCTTTCTCGTGATTTCCACAGGGATGCATCTTGCCTGGCCCCTTCTCAAAACTGGAATCTTAACCAAGAGAAGGGAAATGGTTAAAAGCAAAACCTAAGTCTTATACCAAAGGCCGTTGTCCACACTTTGCCTCGAGTCTGTCATTGTATCACAGCCCCTTGGAGCCCACCCTGAGCTTGTGTGTGTGTGAGTCCCAGTTCCTCTTGGCAGGATGACCGTAGTCTCTGGTGTAGGGCTGGAGGTGAGGCACTTTGGAGAGGTGGTTGTGAACAGCTGGCTAGGCTTCTGGTATGTTGTATTCTCTAGCTGTGATCAGAAGATAATAGCTCAGCTGTTAGGAGCACTTTTTGCTCTTCTAGAGGACCTGGGTTTGGTTCCCAGCACCTGCATGGCTCTCAACTGTCTGTAACTGCAATTCTGAGGGACATGATGCATTCTTATGGGTGTCTCAAGGATCAGGCACACACATGGTACACACAGACATGCATGCAGGCAAAATGCTCCCCCCCCACACACACTATTTGGAAGATGAAGTTAAGTAGCCATGTTAGTTTTGAATTTTTAACGATCAAGTTTTAAGGTACTCGGGATATAGCTCCGTTAGCAGAGTGCTTGCCTTTCAGACACAAAGCCTTGGGTCACAGCCCCAGCACTGCCTGAAGAAGGAAGTGGCAGTGGGCACTGTACTCTCGGTGCTTGTGTTTGGAGGTCGAAGCAGTATGATCAGTAACCCAGGGTCATCCGCAGCTACACAGTCAGTTCCAGGCTACACTGGCATCTTGTGATACACAAACAAATAGATCAGTAAAGGCAGCCTGCTTTCGCACACACCCTGGCTGCTTTATCTCTCCCCTCTTGTGACGACTCAGCGACCCAAAAGTAGGAAAGATTTTTCTCTTCCTTTCCTGCCTCTCAAAGTCAAATCAGTTAAATTTTTCCCATTATGTGAACTGGGCGAATTACCTTTTACTTATGGCCTTTTGCCCCTTACCAAGTTTTAATTCACAAACAATATTTCTAGTAATCTTAGTATCTCACCAAAGTGTTAAAAATAACTTTTAATTACAACACAGAGACAGTGTCACCTAGGCTATAAATCCTGTCTTTCTGCCATTTCCAGCAGCTTCTGTAATTAGACAAGGAAACCTCCTGCTGTGTGGAGACGCTTATTAATGAGTGGGCGCTGTGCCTCTGCAGGCTCTGCTCGCAGTGCCCACTCCCAGTGGAAGTCGCTTCCCGAGAGTTCCTGTCTTCATCACGGTGCTAGGTGATCTGACTTGGAACAAGCTACGGTAGAGAGTGTGTGTGTGTGTGTGTACACTCATGTCTGCAGCTGCTTGTACTGTGCCTCTTACTCTTCTGCATGCATATGAATGTTAGAAGTCAACATTGGATGTCTTCCTCAATTGCTTTCAGCTTTATCTTTTGAGGCAGGTCTCTTCCTGGCCTAGAAATCACCGATTAGACTGGCCGGACTGGCCCCAAGATCCCTCCTGTTCCTGCCTCCCCAGTTCTGGGGAGCATCTGCACCCAAGTGTGCATACTCACCCATATATACTTAATTTTTAAAAAGAAAAAACTCAGAAATATGCTGGGTGGATTTTTGTTGTTGATTTTTGAAGTAGGACAAATTCAGAGTCAGAATTGTGTTTTGAGATGGAGTCTATATTAGTTACTTTTCCGTTGCTGTAATAAAATGTGTATTTTACCATGCCAAGGCAACATATAGAAGGAAGTGTTCATTTGGCTTGCCATTCCAGAGGGATAGGGTCCATCGTGCGGGGAGGGGCGGGAAGCATGATAGCAAGCAGCAGGCCTGGTGGGTGGAGCAGAAGCTGAGGTTTCAGATCTCGAGCCACCAGCAAACTGAAGAGTAATAAGTTCCCTAGAAATGGCTCAAGTCTTTAGACTCTTAAAGCCTGCCCCCACTGACATACTTCCTCCAGCAAGACCACACCTCCTCAACCTCCCCACATGGTGCCATCAACTGGGGACCAAATGTCCAAATGCCAGACACTTGGGGACAAACCACCACGTGGCCACATGTTTCCTAGGCTGGTCTTACGTGGCCAAGACTTCAAACTTCTTATCCTTGTGCCTCCACCTCCCAGTGGTGGGATTACAGATGTGAGGTCCCATACCACATTTATGGGATGGTGGGGATGCAACCCAGGGCCTTATGCATATCGGGCAAGCACTCTGCTAACTGAGCCACATCCCTAGCCTATGAATTAAATTTGTAATAACCCCATGCTCATGCCTTTGTGACCTCATGTTTAGATACACTCCATACCTTCAGTGTTCTTACCGGATAATTAGAGAAAGAATATCCACACATAAAGTAACACACCATGGTCATTGTGAGGTAGATGACTATGGAGAGATTCTGTAGGAGATTATATTGTGGGGCTAATTGGAATTGAGGCCTAAGAATCTTGTGGAGGAGCAGCTTCCTAGCAATGGATTGTGACCTCCAGAAAATGGGGAGAGAAGAGAGGAAGCTCAGAGAAGTGTGCAGCAGGTGCCTCTTACTCTCCTGCTCTTCCAGGGTCTTTACCTTGGCATAATCTGCTATGCATTTCTGAGAAGCCAGTACTTTGACATGTTTTATTGAATTTAAGTATTCTGGAAAGGGAAGAGCTCCTGGTACCACCGTCTCCAAAAGGCCATGTGTGCCCTCTGTGTCTGTTACTCTACTCATTGCCATGCCAGAGTGCTTGACAGTTTGAGGGCACAGTTTGCCATGCCAGGGAAAGGATGGAGCATGAGCATGAGGCAGCTGGTCACGTGGCATCCCCAGGAAGCAGGGGGCGGTGGATGCTGCTCAGCTGGTCACGTGGCCTCAGGAAGCAGGGTGAGATGGATGCTGTTCAGCTGGTCACGTGGCATCCCCAGGAAGCAGGGGGGAGAGGGATGCTGCTGCTGCTCAGCTGGTCACGTGGCATCCCCAGGAAGCAGGAGGAGAGGGAAGCTGCTCACCTGGTCACGTGGCATCCCCAGGAAGCAAGGGGAGATGGATGCTCCTGCTCACTTGCCTTTTCCTTGCCGTGCAGTCTGAGAACCCAGCCAAGGGCATGGTACCACTCTCAGGGAATGGCTTCCCACCTCAGTTAGCCCAGTTCAGAAACTGCCTTCTAGACATGCTCAGAAGCTTGCCTTGTAGAGATTCTAGAGCCCGTCAAGTTGACAGTCAAGATTAACTGCTCCTCCTTCTGTTAGCTTCTGAGAAAGAAATTCTTCATGCTCCCGTTTCTGTCTGTGAGTCATCACAAAGGCTCAAATCTGTGGCTCTGTTACTTTCCTGTGGTTGTGATGAAACATCCTGACCAAGGCAACTTAAAAAAGTAAGTGCTTATTTGGGGCTCACAACTTCAGAACCTTAGAGGTCATGACCATCATGAAGGGGAGCATGGCAGCAGGCAGGCAGGAATAGTGTTGGAGCCGTGGCTAAGAGCTCACAAGCAAGCAGCAGTGAGAGCCAACTGAAGATGACTTTGGCTTTTGAAACCTCAAAGCCTGTGCCCCGTGGCACACTCCCTCCACCATGTCCTTCCCAAAGAGTTCCACCTACTGGGGACCAAGTATCAATCATATATTGTAATATTAAGGGGCGGCGGGGCTGCGTTCCCAGCACCCCGGCCGCCTGCTCGGCTAGCTTATGCCCCGAAATAACAACACACAAACTGTATTCATTTAAACA